CTCTGTCTGATGGCATGGGGGCTTGACATTCCACATTATGTGTAAACTGAGGCAGATATTGGAAAAATTGTCCTTCTACATGGGCGGAGCTCTACAATGATAATGATTACTGACATTGTTTAGTAGTGGAAATATTTGTCCTGCGCTCACCAAAGTCTTAAAGTGAACCTGTTCTTTAGTTATGTTAGGGAATATGGACACCCACAATGCATTACCGGTGCTAGACAGATAAACATAGAGCGGCACCAACATCATCCTTCAGTCTAAAAAAGTGCACCGGCCACTATTCTGCTGGGCCTAAAACATGGAAGGTACCATCTCAGCACAGCAAGCCACTGCCAAAATGAGCAGCCAAAAATATGTGACATACCGCACCCATCACTCCACAGGATCACAGTCAGAGAGCAGTTCCTCTCTTGTCACATATTGTGAAACTCATCTACACCTTCACTGAGCTGAATATCGGTAGATCCGGGGGAAAACCCAACCTGATAAATTGGGTTACACTTGTTACTATTAGGTTATATTATTCTCAGATGGCCGGTATCTGTTTTACTCCGCTCCTCAAAGTTAGCTGATCTTAATATCTAAAAAAGTGCACCACCACTATTCTGCTGGGCCTAAAACATGGAAGGTACCATCTCAACACAGCAAGCCACTGCCAAAATGATCAGCCAAAAATATGTGCCACACCTCCTTTGTCACATATTGTTGCACTGTGGGTGAGAATACCATCTACACCTTCACTGAGCTCAATATTGGTAAATACAGAGAAAAACCCAACTTAAAGGATGAGGTTATGTTTGGTAATATTAGGTTACATTATTCTCAGCTGTCTGCTATCTGTTTTACGCTGCCCCTCTAACTTAGCTGATCCCAATATCTAAGTCACTCATGAACCAGTAACTCTGACTTGCCAGTTCATAGAAAATAACATCATCATCTTTCTGCAGCTAAACAATATATATATACGCAGTATTGCAGTGTGCAATGATACCTTTCTTATTGGACTAACAAAATATATATATTATATATATACAGGGCTTGAAAAATTTGATAGTTTCTCATCAGTCAGTCAAAAATTTCACCAGTCAGCATGACCGGTCTCTGACTTGCCAGTTCATAGAAAATAACATCATCATCTTTCTGCAGCTAAACAATATATATATACGCAGTATTGCAGTGTGCAATGATACCTTTCTTATTGGACTAACAAAATATATATATTATATATATACAGGGCTTGAAAAATTTGATAGTTTCTCATCAGTCAGTCAAAAATTTCAC